GTTACGAAAATATTAATTATTTGATTAGATTTACGATTATTATTATATTTAATCACAATATCGCTCATAAGACTTGTGTTTAAAACTTATTTTTGATGTTTTTTCTTATGATTTGTAAACCTTTTTTCCTCGTCTTGTAATTACTTATAAATCTTTGATTTCAATGAATAATAAGATTAGAATTTAATTCATAATTACTATACTTTGGGTTTAATTTCAATTAAAAATTGAGTTTAAATATTGAATTTGAAATATGTATGAGATGTATGTTATTTCTACACTAATTAATGCCATTTATATATTGTTAAGCATTTCTTTAACAAAAACAATTGATAAATGATTAAAATCTGATGATTTGACGGTTCATACGATATATACAGTGAAAATTACTGATTATTTCTATCTTTGATACAAATGTGAAACAACAGTAAAAATATTAATTTTATTATTTCAATAACCATTTGACTTGTAATGATATAACTATATGTTTATACAAACAGATGTATTTTGTTTGTGTTTTGAAAATTGTGAACCAAAATATGTATTTTTAATTTTACGTTAATTGTCTGAATAGAAAATGTATAATAAATTTAATTATATGACGAATAATTATTGGAAAATTTATTTTTATATCATAATTAAGTAATTATAGAGTTCTTCACTTCAAGTGTGGTATAGATATTATTTGACGTCCAAATGGTGTTTGTATTGAGTCTCGCATTACAATTGCGATAATAATAATAATGATTAAATGTGGTGTTCATTAAGACATGTGTACATCTCTTAATGACGAAACTCATAATCTAATAATTAGACAATACGTGTGAATAATACATGAATGTGTAGCCATACATGTATATTCTATATTCTAGAATTTTCATAATGATATTTTCTTATATTTCATGCTATAGTTAACGAATTGAATTTAAATTAAGAAAATATTGTGAAATAAAGTGCTTAATAATGTCAGACTCAGGAATGTCTGGCCTCTGGTCTATGGACAAAGACATCATTTTAAGGCAGCAATTAAATACATCCCCTTAAATAAAAGTAACAATGGACTAGCATTGTACTCTTATCTCTAAAATATAACTTTACATAACTAAATTTAAAATTACTTTTAATTATTAAAAACATAAATATTACTATTTAAAATTAAAATTAATATAAAAGTACTACAATTATAATATTTTAAACTAAATAACATTCAAAATAAATCCAATTATACTAATTTTTGTAATAACTTTTTTGCCCTAAATCATAGTTGATTTTTTTGTGTTAATTGTGATCCCATCATTAAATCCAATCTATTGATATGTCACATGACATATATGTTCTGTGGATTGTTAGTTTAATCACTAATATTTTATCCATATTTTTAATACAAACATTAATTTCCTATTATTAATAATTTATAATGTATTTTACATTTTGTTTTTAATAATTAAAAGTAATTTTAAATTTAGTTATGTAAAGTTATATTTTAGAGATAAGAGTACAATGCTAGTCCATTGTTACTTTTATTTAAGGGGATGTATTTAATTGCTGCCTTAAAATGATGTCTTTGTCCATAGACCAGAGGCCAGACATTCCTGAGTCTGACATTATTAAGCACTTTATTTCACAATATTTTCTTAATTTAAATTCAATTCGTTAACTATAGCATGAAATATAAGAAAATATCATTATGAAAATTCTAGAATATAGAATATACATGTATGGCTACACATTCATGTATTATTCACACGTATTGTCTAATTATTAGATTATGAGTTTCGTCATTAAGAGATGTACACATGTCTTAATGAACACCACATTTAATCATTATTATTATTATCGCAATTGTAATGCGAGACTCAATACAAACACCATTTGGACGTCAAATAATATCTATACCACACTTGAAGTGAAGAACTCTATAATTACTTAATTATGATATAAAAATAAATTTTCCAATAATTATTCGTCATATAATTAAATTTATTATACATTTTCTATTCAGACAATTAACGTAAAATTAAAAATACATATTTTGGTTCACAATTTTCAAAACACAAACAAANAAAAGGTGCTTAAAAGGTGCTAAAAAGGTGATAAAAAGTTATGAAAAAGTTAGTTATTTTGCATCAAAATAATTCATTCAAAGATCAATAACATTTGTTTTTGAATTCAATTGTATCACAAAGTATATTGTGAGGTTTTCTGTTTCAAAAGTCATTCGTCTGTCGTTTAACAACTGTTTATGAGTCGAAAAACGTTTAATGACTAAAAACCATAGCCTGTTATGACTAAAAACTATGACTTAAAAATTTTAATATTACATTACACTTGTTTTCAATTTTGACTAATTGAGTATTTTGTGATTTATCAATTTATAACGTATAAAATTTGCAAAATAGGCGAAAAGTTACTTAAAAGTTACTAAAGGTGCTAACGTCCCAAAAGGTGCTAAAAAGGTGAAATAAAAATCTTCCAAAATACTCCTAAGGTGGTATATGGTGTGCCCCCAAACTTTCAGGAGGTTCTCCGCTTTCGGAACAAAAAGTTATTTAACTTCAAATCAATGCTTTAATTATGAGTTTCGTCATTAAGAGATGTACACATGTCTTAATGAACATTACATTTAATCATTATTATTATTATTGCAATTGTAATGCGAGACTCAATACAAACACCATTCGGACGTCAAATAATATCTATACAATACTTGAAGTGAAGACTCTATAATTACTTAATTATGATATAAAAATAAATTTCCCAATAATTATTCGTCATATAATTAATTTATTATACATTTTCTATTCAGACAATTAACGTAAAATTAAAAATACATATTTTGGTTCACAATTTTCAAAACACAAACAAAATACATCTGTTTGTATAAACATAGAGTTATATCATTACAAGTCAAATGGTTATTGAAATAATAAAATTAATATTTTTACTGTTGTTTCAAATTTGTATCAAAGATAGAAATAATCAGTAATTTTCTCTGTATAGAATACGAACCGTCAAATCATCAGATTTTAATCATTTATCAATTGTTTTTGTTAAAGAAATGCTTAACAATATATATAAATGGCATTAATAGTGTAGAAATAACATACATCTCATACATATTTAAAATTCAATATTTAAACTCAATTTTAAATTGAAATTAAACCCAAAGTATAGTAATTATGAATTAAATTCTAATCTTATTATTCATTGAAATCAAAGATTTATAAGTAATTACAAAACGAGGAAAAAAAGGTTTACAAATCATAAGAAAAAACATCAAAAATAAGTTTTAAACACAAGTCTTATGAGCGATATTGTGATTAAATATAATAATAATCGTAAATCTAATCAAATAATTAATATTTTCGTAACAAATAATAATATTCATTGAAAATTATGAAAAGTCAATAAATTGTGTCTTTGAAAGTGTCAACAGTTTGTCGTAATACTAAAATCCAAACAATACGCCAAACAAAGAGCCGCACGAAGAGAGGCCTTACGGATACATATGTGGCGGACGTGTCTCCTGTCGGGGCATATTTGTGTCAAAATGGTTGTCCACATGCATCTGGAAGTAGTTCGTATGGCCCGGCAGTGACAGATCGAAAGGTGTCGAACAGACGGGACACAAGCGCTGCGAGTGTTTCTCCTCCAAGTGCTGTATCATTGGCTTCGAGTCCTTCGACATGCATGTGATCTCTTCGTTACATATAATGCACGGCAAATGTGTCAACTGAATAATGCTGTCCACTCTCTCGCCCACCGCCACTACAGCCGCCGTCGATGGCCTTCACGCGTGTTATTGTGGTTGTGGGCAGAGGTAGAGCACAGGCGCTCTCCATAGGCGTCTCCAGCGATCTGATGGACATACGCTCTTCCAGTGGCGTATCCATATCGACGATCACAGTCTTCACTTCGGTCTCCGCTTTGGCCATCAACTCCTGGCGCTCTGTCAGCGACACATCGACCGCCGCTTTTGTTTGTGACTTCGTATCGAAATATTTCTATTAAATGTAAACAAAAATTGTCAATATTTTGCCATAAAATCACTTTTCGCTACAAAATCAAACACACCTTCACTTTGGCTTTGATTTTGTCGACTCTGTTCTCGAGTTTAGTGTTGTATTTATATATCTTCTGGTATTCTTCGGCCGCATTCGCCAAACGACTCTTCAATTCGTCGATTTGCTTCTCAAACAACTCCTCCTTTTGTTTCCATTGGCCGGACGTCGCCTTCTTGTTGGCTTCCGTCTCATCCAATCGGGTCTTCAACTCAACCATCTCTTCGTTCGCGGTCTGGATCTGCACTTTAGTCTTGAGTTTGATTTTGTCGAAATCCAAGATCTCGGCCATCATTAGATCGGTTTTGCTCTGCAGTGAATCGCATTTGGCTCTCGTGTCCTCCAACTCACTCCTCAGCATTCGGTTCTCCGATTCCAAGTCTCTTCTCTCGGACATCACTTTCGCGATGGATGTACTGCTCAGCTCTAGTTTCGCCTCAACCATCGCTCGAGTCGAACTCAACTCATCGATCAGCACCTGTTGTTCGCCCGTCTGTTACACAATATTCACAATTAAGTCAATTGAGAGTCAATATAAAACACTCATTAAAGCGAACCAACCTTTTTGACGAGATTAAACACCTCCTGATCCCTAGTCTTCAGCATCTCTCCGCACTTGAAGGCCTTCACCTCAAACCCATTGACCACATCCTGCAGTTGGTTCAGCTCCGACTGAGTGAAGGCGAGTCGCGCCTCGTACTCGTCTCTGGATCTTCTCATTTCCGACAACTCTCTCTCCAACACTTCGATGCGCTCCGAATGGGAGCAGTTCTGTGCCTCACTGGACGACAGTTTGGCCATAATTCTAGTCGACTCTAATTGAGACAATTTGTTGCGGTCCTCGAGTTCGACCAACATTTTTCTCAATTCCGACACTTCGTTACTCTTGGATGTCATGTGCTGTTCCAGCGATCGCTTCGAGTACTCGAGAACTCCATTCTCGTTCACCAACTGTTGCAGTCGTTCCTGAAGTAAAGCCTGTTGTGAGCGAACCTATTGTTCATCAAAACAAAGATAAAAACCATTAAAACGTGATAACAAAACATCACAAACATTAACAAAATGAGTCATCAATGAATTTGTAGTTGAATTTCGTGTTTAACCATTCATTTAGCGAATGGAAAACATAGCGATTCAACCATTGGATTAGTTTTGCAGATCATAGGAAACGCCAACATTTATATGTGTAACAAAATCTTGGAGCTGGTTCTGCATCACATCCCACAACCAATCAAACCATCAGTCAGTCAAACACTTACCACAACAAAGTCCTCTTCATCGGAGTTACGATTGTCGGTCAATTGGATCAAGTCTTCAGCGTGCGGTCGAATGAAGCGAAAGGGTGTCGACGCGCCGCAGATGTCGTCGCCGGCCGTCAAATAGCAGAACTGGAAGAACTCGTCGGCGCTTTTGGGCAGTTGGGAGGCGTCGAAGCGGACCTTCTTCTCGCCGAACTCGTTATCCGTTTCACATTTGGACACATTCTTGAAGACGAGACCCTCTCTGGCGTAAACCCAACCGACTTTGAAGAGACCGATGCGATCGCCTTCCGAGGCCTTAACAGAGTCGCCGATATAGAAGCGACACTCGATGTCGGCGTCCGTCGGATAGGATTCGCTGATTTCGTTGAAAATCACTTTTGAATACTTGCTTTCATTCATGTCTATCGCATGGAATGGCGATTCGCTTCTGGAGTGGGAATCGCTTTCAGACGACATACAAAT